CCCCCACCCACCAATCCCCCCACCCCCCATCTACCCATCTCCCCAGCCGTCCATCCATCCATCCATCCATCCATCCATCCATCCATCCATCCATCCATCCATCCATCCCCATCTACCATCTCCCAGCCGTCCATCCATCCATCCATCCATCCATTCATGCATCCATCCATCCATCCATGCATGCATCCCCCATCTACCCATCTCCCCAGCCGTCCATCCATCCATCCATCCATCCATCCATGCATCCCCCATCTCCCCATCTCCCCAGCCATCCATCCATCCCCCAATCTACCTTTCTCCCCAGCCGTCCATCCATCCATTCCCCATCTACCCTTCTCCTGAGCTCTCCATCTATCCATCCATCCCCAATGTACCCTTCTCCCCATCCATCCGTCTAGCCATCCATCCACACATGTACCCTTCTCCCCAGGAATCCATCCACCCATCTCCCATCTCCCCCTCTCCCCGTCAATTCATCCTCCATCTACCCTGCTCCCCATTCATCCATCCATCCACCCACCCCTATGTACCCTTATACCCATTCCTCCAGCAGTGACAGGTGGGCTGCTGGTGGGAACTGAGGGGCACTGGCAGAGCTGGGGGGAGCCCAGGGCTGGGCTAGCAGGGGGCTGTGGGTCGGGAGCAGGGCCGATGAGAGAGTGGGGGGAAGCCAGTACAAATTACCGGGTCCCGGCGGTCCGGAAGGGGGCCCAGGGCCCAGCTTCCCCCCCTCTCCTCGGCCCTGTTTAGCCGGTCCGCTCTTGCTGGGGGGCCTGCTCTCGGCGGCCCTGATTGGGAGTGAGGGGCACCGGCAGGGCTGGTGTGGGAGCCCAGGGCTGGGCTAGCAGGGGGCTGCATGTTAGAAGTGAGGGAAGTGACTCTGCTACTCTCCCCCAACCTACTGCTGGAGCTGGGGTCCCCTGGCCCCTCGCTGGGCTGTGGGGTCATTGGCCCTGGGAGACCCTCTCACATCTCCTCGAACCATCCCTCCCATTTCTCTCTTCCCCCCACTCCACTCACTACCTGCCCCTCCTGCTCCTTCTCTCCCCAGGCTGGGACCTCCTTCCCTCATCACTGCTGGGAGCCATGACTGCCCCGGACTCCTGGGTCCCCTTCCGGCTGGTCCTTCAGCTCAGCCTCTACCTGCTGGCCATCATGACCTTCTCCATCTTCCTACACTTAAGCAGCCGGTTCCCCACTGCAAGGCAGAGGCACACAACGAAGGGGTCCCCAGCCATGCCACCCACCACAACCCCCCCAACAGAGCGGGGCATGTGGACCGTGAACTCCGCCGGGCGCCTGGGGAACCACATGGGGGAATACGCCACCCTCTACGCCCTGGCCAAGATGAACGGGCGCCAGGCCTACATCCTCCCAGAGATGCACCAACAGCTGGCGCCGCACTTCCGCATCACCCTGCCCATGGTCTCCAGCGACGTGGTCCAGAGCGTCCCGTGGAGGAACTACGAGCTCCATGACTGGATGTCGGAGGAGTAC